TTTATTTTTTTAAATGAGCCATGCTCAATTTCTTCTTGTTTAATGTGATGTCTTGGCGTTGAACTGAACTGAATTTCTACCCCACCAGGACATCACACAAGCGATAAACACCCGATGACACAAAGTGCCACCATGTGGATGAGGATCGCCGTGGAGAGGTCCCAGAAACCGCGTTCAGACATTTGGCCATATATATATGGCCTGCCTATATTGCGGCCCCTGGCAAAAGCCAGAGTAGGGCTTCAAATGACAAAAAATTTCGTCCTAAAAAGGACGAAATTTGATATAATTAATGATCTCGGCGTTACGAATCTCGTCTGCATCGCCTAACCACAGAGGCGGAAAATTATATTGACTCATGTCACTTAACTTTCGTAAACTTAATAGTTTCTAGTTAACAGATTTCTATATTTTGTCTACAGCTTACTCCTACAATTCACATAACATCACCGGGACATGTCTACTCCCCCGAATTAAAGCCAAGAAACCTTACCAAGACTGGACACGGGAAGCAACAATATAATACATCGACAAAACCCGTTATTACATCCCCTGACAAAAACACAAAAAGCAACAAAAACTGTTGCTGGTCAAGCAGAAAGAAGATTAACCCTGAAAAAAATCAAGGTTCGGAGATGCAGGTTCGTCATCAGCAGTCTACTAGATCCGACACACGAGTTCGAGCTGAAAACCACACATGGCTTAAAACACCCACCAAAGTCACTACAAGTACGAAGGGAGATAATGAAATAAAACAATACTATATTTATAGCGGGACCGGATCTCGAGTAGGAGGCGAAAAGAAACTTATTTTTCCAAATACTTTGTCAGGACGACCACAGAATAAGAAATCGCAGGAAAAAGAATTGAATTTATCGGGCCCTACTAATACATATCCTGTAGCAAAAGACAAACTGCAGCAAAATCCTGTGAGAGATCTCCCGCAAGTTATTTCCCCTGACACAATGGCTTTTAACCCTCTATACAAAGAGACAGATTCCCCGTATTCCCCTTTAGTGCCGGTCGCACTGGAGGATTATGCCGGGTCTGTTCCGGTGAAAAGAGTTTCGTCCAAGACTTTGGTGGCGGGCAATCCTTTGATTCCAGTTATGGTCCCGGCTGAGAACGTTGGCAACAATGACTTCTACAGCTCTCGTGACAGTCCTGTCTATTCGGATGTTTACGTGGACAGAGATTATGAATATGAATATGAATCGTTCTCTAGAAGGTTTACAGTAAGTGACGTTATTATTATTATTATTATTATTATTATTATTATTATTATTATTATTATTAATTATAATTGTTGATTTATTTTTTTCGTTTATTTTGATTATTTCTTTCTCCTCATTTTGCGAAAGACTGGGACATGAAGAGACTGAGAATGGTGTAAGTAAAGGCTTTAGTTTATTGAAGTTTTTATTTTTTTAAATGCTGTATTAAGTCCTACGCATAGGGAACAGAAGGATAAGTCAAATCTGGGAATCCAACAATTACTGCAGGGGAACGAAACTCCGACTCTACAAGAGAATAATTTTGCCAGTTCTTCTTTATGGAGCAGAATGCTGGAGAATGACCAAAAAGGATGCACACAAGCTATCCACCTTCCACCAAACATGTCTACGTAGAATTATCAAAATTTTCTGGCCAGATACAATCTCAAACACTAAACTACTTCAAGTCACAAACCAAGAAACTATAAACAGCATGATAACTAAGAGAAGATGGAAATGGCTTGGCCACGTTATGAGAATGAATCCTGATATACCTGCGAAAACAGCTCTCACATGGACACCAGAGGGAGAGTGAAATACAACAACATGGAGACGAACGATGGAATGTGACCTGAGTGCGGCATCTTTGACATGGAAAACTGCACTAAAGATTGCACAGGACAGGAAAGCATGGAAAGGCCTCTATGAAGCCTTATATGCCATCTAGGCAAACGAGAACCGATCTGACAGGGAACGGAAAGGATGCATAGGCTGTGAGCACTATGATGATAATGATCAGAATAATGACAATATTTTAATATTAATTAAAATAATTACCATAATAATAATGCTAGCCCCATATTTGTAGTAGACAGTACGTGTTGCTGATAGGATCAACACAAAATTGGCTATTTTAGTAAGTAAAGTAAATTTTTTTCCCACGCCTTTGGACATATTGAGCCTGTAGGGCTAGACCTATATTTTATAGGCCAATCGGCACTTAATGGGTGATGTGGTCAGCATCACGCCGATCGTCTTTACTTCCCATTACTTTTGCCTGGTACCCATTTAAGACTAGGTCGACCTGGGAGCCCAAATCATTTTTTTTAAAGTCTGGCTCCGTCAGGACTCGATTCCATAGTCTTCTGATCCGCAGGCGAGCGTGTAGCGGCTACGCCATTGCGGTTTCTATCGACTATTTCACTTCGCAGTAATTTCCTAGTACATATTTCAACCTGCGACCAAGGTCAAATTTGATTGTCTTCTGACAGCGGGTATATAAGCCACTGCGCTACCGCTGGTATAGGGACAAGTAAGTAAACATAAAGAACCCTTTTCCCCGGCTACAGGCATATTGGGCATATAGGACTAGACCCATATTTTATGGACCTATGCGGTCCAGTCAGCACTCGATGGATGATGTGGTAAAAAATTCCACCGACCGTCTTTACATCCCAGGACTTTGCCTGGTACCCATTTACAGCTAAGGTCAGTTTTGAAAGCTGTCTGGAGGACAATGAATCCTGATATATAAAAAGACACAGGGCCCGGAGACAGCAGAATGTTCAGACAGAAATTGCAAGAGATCATTTGCAGCAAGTTTTAACTGTTCGTCGGAGGAAGTCCGCTTTTTACACACGACGGAGGCACTGTTAAGGGTATTTGTTTGGCCGCCATAATATGAGGACGAAGTTCGGAGGATATTTTACTGTTCTTACTCTTCTTCGTATTTACCGGCTGTAAACTCCAACAGGAAATTCTGGTTGCTTGTTCCCTTCTGGACTTTGGTCATATTCCGGAACTTGAGTTTTGGCTGCCTTAGTTTTACCGGTCTAGCATATTTGTATGCAGACTGCTGGTTCCTGGTCTCTCAGGCAGATGCACTCTGACTTTAACGGGAAAACCCCAAATGTGTGGCATTTTATGAAATGCTTGTTAGGGTGCGGTGGGTCCATTCGCCAGACCTCAAATGGGATCTCAAGATCCACACGGGGTAGGTATAGTATATTTTATTCTTTTTTTTTTTTCTTTCGAAAAGCATGAAGAAAATGGCTACCAGGGCGGCAAGTGAGCGTATCTGCTTTCAATGACTATGGGAATTACCTAAGTAAGAGGAAATTAGAACTACTATAACTGACATTTTGTTGTCATTAATCAAGAGTTACTGTTCTTTTCTGGCAGGCTATCCCAAGTTACAATGCTGTTAGATTTATGCTGAATGACAGCGACTGATCCAGCAAATCGGCATCCACAAACCAGAACCCACACTAAAGCAGCATAAAGAATGTCAGCCATAAGCCACTTCAGTTGAATCCTCCTTGATTATCTTAAAAATAAAATGATTAAACCGCAACTTTTTGTGTTATACATATTTAAACTTGCTCCCTAACAAGCAAAACACTGCATTATCAATCCAGCCCTATTCATATTTACAAGTCGTCTCTTCTCGAATGTGTGTGTATTACGTACCTAATACACTTCCCGTCCTTTTTAGGATGAAATTTTTCGTTTTTTAAAGACCTCCTCTGGCTTTTGCCAGGGGCCGCAATATAGCCTGGCCATAAATATGGCCTAATAGCTGAACGCGGTTTCTGGGACCTCTCCACTGTGATCCTCATCGACATGGTGGCACATTGTGTCATCGGGTGTTTATCGCTTGTGTGATGTCCTGGTGGGGTAGAAAGTCAGTCAGCCGCTACTAGTCGTCCCCATGTGGTACAATTTTTCAATTTACATAAATAAATAAAATCCAGTCCTTTGCAAAAGTCATTTCGTCTCCATGTGGGATGCAATTTTTCGTTATGAGAAACCCCACCCTGGCATTTGTCAGGGGTCCTGAATATAGCCGGCCCATAAGGCCTAACGGCTTACCGGGGTTTCTGGGACCTCCACACGGGTGATTCTTATCCGCATGGTGGCACTTTGTGTCACAAGGTGTTTACCAAGTTGTTTGATGTCCTGGTGGGGTACACCATACATACACACATACATACATTCCAGACAGACAGACAGACAGACAGACAGACAGACAGACAGACAGACAGACAGACAGACAGACAGACAGACAGACAGACAGACAGACAGACAGACAGACAGACAGACAGACAGACAGACAGACAGACAGACAGACAGACAGACAGACAGACAGACAGACAGACAGACAGACAGACAGACAGACAGACAGACAGACAGACAGACAGACAGACAGACAGACAGACAGACAGACAATCCAGTCTTATACTCAATTTTGTTGTGGGGGGGGGGGGGAGCGTACGTTCAAGGGTTACCTTCACTAATTCCCGTAAAACATTTTGGCTATATGATAGGGTGGGAAAAGTTCGAGGGGGAAGGGTAGGTCTTTCCGAGAGCCTAGGATTTGTTTCAATGGGTTGTTGTTGCTGTTTTTGTTATTGTTGTTGTTTTTGTTATTGTTGTTATTGTTGCTGCTGCTGTTTTTGTTTTTCTTGACACCTTTCTGTCCCTCTAAGCTATAGTTTTAAACTGTGCTATAAGAAGACATGGGACTCACAGTCCATGGCAATGGCGAGTGTGTCCTACAAGATCCGATTGCGTTAAGAAAGAGCATAATGCGGAACAATAATAATAAAATTGTGAAAAAATATTAAATCAATTAATTTAAAATTTATTAAAAATAAATTAATTCGTTAACAATATTTAAAAAAAAAAAAGGACACTAACTGATTCCTTCATTGATTGTATCTCAAATAACTATTTTAACTGTGAAGGACCAAACACATGAAACAGTGGGCAGGAGTCCTGCAGGCTCTAAATGTCTAGATGTTCACACAAGATGTTCACAAATTCTGCAACAGAAACAAAAAAGTTAGATAAATGGGCTGTGAAGTGTACAAATGAGAATTACTACAGACCATTCTGAAATGGCGAGAAATATAAAGGGACTAATATCTGATGTAATCTGTAAAGTGATTTTCTTCTTTTTTCCCCCATCTTTTCTCTTTTTTTCACTCTCCTTCTTATGCTGCTGCTGCTGCTGCTTATTATTATTATTATTATTATTATTATTATTATTATTATTATTATTATTATTATTATTATTATTATTATTATTATTATTATTATTATGCATTTTATTCGTCACTATCATATATCTGCAATGGAAAACAACTGAACGTAAAACTTGCCTAGAAAAAGCAAAACAGCCAACAAATGCTGGGGTTAGTTCTGCAACGTCCTGTAAAGAATACGCAATTAGCTATCATATACATGTACCCCCGAACTATCTTCTGCATCTCCTTCCTTATCTGACCAATACGGTTCATCTTGATCCCTCATTCCCTTCACGAGTGTTGATAGATGGTCCCTTATTTCTTCGCATTAATAAGTTACAATAATTATTTACACATATGTTAAATTAAAAAAAAAAAACAGCAAAAAGACACAAAAACAGTTATTTAGTGTGAGAGGGGAGAGAGATCTAGACAAAGTGAGAGAGGGAAGGGAGAGGAAAGAGAGAGAGAGGGGGAGAGATCAAGAGAGAGGGAGAAAGGGAAGGGAGAGGAAAGAAAGTGAGGGGGAGAGAGATCGGGAGACAGGGAGAAATGGAAGAGAGAGGAGGAGAGAGAGAGGAAAGAGAGAGGAGGGAAGAGAGAGGGAGAGAGAGGGAGGAGAAGAAGGTGAGAGAGAAGGTAAGAGAGGGTAATCAAGAAAATTCCTGACCAACTCATCGTGATGAGTATTATGTTTAAAATAATGATGATGATGATCTTTATCGTCATCGTCATCATTATCATCCTCATCAAATCGTGACAATAACTTCACATTGACCCCAGACTAATCAACCAAGAAAAAACCTGTTTTTTAGACACACGCATCTAAAGAATACCTTGTTTTGAAATGCACCCACTGCCATTTATGTCCAGTGACTTGACCAGCCGCTTGACCTCGTCCACTCCCAGGTCACTTTTCTCTCTGACCAACCTGGCGTCCAGGTCAGGTTGTTGTAGTTTCAGCAACAACTGCTGTACCTGGACATAAAAGACAATTGCTGAAGATGTGACAGTCTTTGATATTCCAAGAGCAGGGGTGGTAAAACTAAGGCCTGCCCACCGAGCAATTTTGGCCGGCCCTCGAGGCTGGTGTAAGGTTACTACATAAAATGGCATTTGAGTTCACAAAATAACAGAACACAAAAACATACGCTAGTGTGCAGGAAAAAAAAAAGAATCCAAATATAAAGATAAAGAAAATGTGATAACCCAAGCGGTGATAACCAGAAACTAGTGTGACAAAATTTTTGATCCTGCTAGCGAAACGTGTGTTGCGGACAAACTCCTACACTAGAAGACAATATCTTTCCACGAACTATGATAACAGAATATAAGGTGAAGTCTTTCTGTTACTCTTGTTTGCAAATTTGAGGATCAAAAGAGTGCAGTATCCCACACAAAAATATCGTGTTGCGAGTAAAATCTTGGGGTTTGTAGAGTTAGCGAGAAAAATGTATTCACAGTAATCGACCAACTGTGACACGTATCGATATGCACAATAGCTGAATACATTACGGTAGCAATGTGTTGCGTGGAGTTGTTCATATCACCCTGTATAAACGTTTGTACCAAATTTATTCAGACACAAAGAAATGCATAAAAGTTAAAGTTCCTACAAGTGCTCAGAGGGATTCCCATTAGCCTCCTGACACTTTTCAAAACCATAATAGGTGCTTTATTAATATCCTAGGCCCCCCCCCCCCCCGATGACGTCACAGGATAGTCCAACATTTAGAGGGTGGTAACACTGGGTTTCCCGGCTTTCTGATGCTTTTAACGACCCCAAAACATCTAGAACTGGCCCTAACCCCAACCCACCTACGCCCATGACAGCATGCAGCCTAGGTCTCACGACTGCATGCAGCCTATCTACCACCCACTGAAATATTAGACTGTCCGTGACCTGTGGATGTCCCCTATTTGGGGCAATATATTAATAAAGCACCTCATAATACAACACATAACTACCGTAATTCGATCTAAATATGGCGGATTATATCAAGTAATGATGACATTTTTACAAACAGCCTCTATGAAGATGCTTATGCATTTCACTGCTGGGTGATTATTGTGTATACATTTTTTTTGATAATTATTTATAATGATTTTTTTTTTCTTCTTAAAAGCCGGCGGCCAGGGTGGTATTCATACCCAATCAGAAACTTATCACTATATACACTGACGGCCTTATTAACCCGATTTATTACGTCAGTAAACGCATCCTTCTTTTTCTTCTTCTTTTTCTTCTTTTTTCTTTTTCTTCTTCTTCTTTTTCTTCTTCTTCTATGTTCATCCAAAGATGTTAACATCTGATTTAACAGATTTATTACGTCACTAAACATACTACTGTATCTTCGTTCAACACATGTTTTATATAACTAGACGCATTTACCCGGCATTATGCAAAGCATTTAGTTCGTCACTAGACACACATTAACTCTTCACCCATCAACAAACCTTTTACGTCACCCAACATGACACGTCATAAAGTCTAACCTTCCTTAGTTCTATGAAATCTCCAGGCCCACACAGAAACAATTTGTCGACTGAATCCAGAATGGCTTCTTTCCGGGCCTGCTCCTGTTGTCTGTACTTGGAGTAGAGGCGCAAGAATTCGTCAAAGTCTATGGTGTTGTCATCTGTTGATTGATTCGTGGGAAAATGGGATTGTTAACCAATGTGAAATGTGATTGTTCACCAAAGTAAAATGTGATTGTTAACTAATGTGATTGTTCACCAATGTGAAATGTGATTGTTAACTAATGTGAAATGTGATTGTTCAGCAATGTGAAATGTGATTGTTAACTAATGTGAAATGTGATTGTTCACCAATGTGAAATGTGATTGTTAACTAATGTGAAATGTGATTGTTCACCAATGTGAAATGTGATTGTTAACTAATGTGAAATGTGATTGTTCACTAATGTGAAATGTGATTGTTACCAAAGCTGCCAATTACCGACTTTATTTTACCACTTTTGAGGTGTAGGCGGAAGGGGGAGGGAGGGAGGGGGCGGGGGGTCTTTGAACCTGAGGAGTTACGGCCCCATGGCTAGTGCTGTCGCCACGACTGTGCAGGTGAGAATTTTATTTTGCCCCCGACTGAAAAAAACATCCCCAGCCTTACTGAGGATTACCGAGGGTTTCCTGCTTGAGAGCCCCGCGTTCTACCCATTCGGCCAGTCACTCCACATGTGATTCTTAACCAGTGTGAAATGTGATTGTTAACCAGTGTGAAATGTGATTGTTAACCAATGTGAAATGTGATTGTTAACCAATGTGAAATGTGATTGTTAACCAATGTGAAATGTGATTGTTAACCAATGTGAAATGTGATTGTTAACCAGTGTGAAATGTGATTGTTAACCAATGTGAAATGTGATTGTTAACCAATGTGAAATGTGATTGTTAACCAATGTGAAATGTGATTGTTAACCAATGTGAAATGTGATTGTAAACCAGTGTGAAATGCGACTGTTAACCAATGTGAAATGTGAAAATATTCAAGTTCAAGTCGAGAGAATTTATCTTATTTCCCGCTATTATCCTATATGACGACCTTTCTCCGAAGACAGGCTAGCCGACTGAGTGCGTGCACAAGCACGAACTATGTAGCTTTAGCGATGATCTCCGTAAAAATTCCACACATGTACAAAACTACGTGTCCGTGAAGTGAACCATGATATTCGGAGTGCGAGGCAAAGGGGCTGGCTTTTTGGCCACGAAGACTAATAAATGGAATTTTTTTTTTTTAATTGGGAGATGTGAACCAGCGTCATTGCACACAGTTATAAACCCTAAGTGCTCTGCCACCAGCACGGACAGCTGATAAGAAACTATCCGCCTGTGTTGCCGTCCGCACGTAAGTTCGAAGCTACAGCGACGTTCCTCCATTTACCCCAGAGTGTCAACTCTGGTACCCATTTCCTAGAGGCTGGGTGAACCCCGGAATCGCCCGTTTCGAATACCTTCCGTGGGCTTCAATGAGTCGCAACTGGATTTGAATTCGAGTCTCGTATCGACTGCGCTAACGAATGTGAGTATCATAGTAGAGAAATTCATTTCATCGACTGTATTCATTGTTGCTGTAATAACGAGTAGCAGAAAAAGAACAAGAGAGATAAATAAACACTGAAGCAGCTAGAAAACAAAAGAGAGCAAGGAAAATGAAACACACAAAAACTGACTGCAGATATTTGACCGCTGAGCGCCTGATAAGAAGCACACCACATACTTGTGATGACAATATCAACAATCAACAAGTCCTTTACAGAACGTCGCTCTTTTCACGGCACGCCTGAAAGTATCCCTTTACCTAGCCAGCTCTTCGACCCCATGTGCTTTATCGTGCTGTTGATTTCGTGAAGGGGACAAAAGAGAAATATCAGCGAAATAAAGATCATCACTCAGTCTGGTAGGAGTCCACTAAATTCCGTTTCTGGTATTAGCAGTTGCTGTCTTCATAATCCAATCTATTGCCAGTCAAAATATGAGAGGCGACAAAAGGCATCCGTGGCGCACACCTGTTTTTATTTAAAATGTATCTGTTAGCTTTGCCCCATTAAAAAAAAAAAAAAAAACTCGACATTTCATGCCTTTGTACGTTGCCTTTACTAAGTTAATAATTTTATATAATGTTCCACAATGCCCAATAATTTTTCAAGAGATTCCCAATCAATGCTGTCAAATGCTTGTTCATAGTCTATGAATCTAATGTTAAGTGGTAATTCAGTGCAATGCTCTGCTCAATTATTATACGTGATGTGGCTATCTGGTCAGTACATGATCTGTTTGGCCAAAACCTGCCAGTTCATCTCTTAGCGTTTTATCGATAGCATCTTTTAATCTTTCCAAAATTTAACAAAAATGAACAATATCTTACTAGAATAACTGACAGAAACACAATTCCTCTATAGTTCTCACACTCCTGTAGATCACCTTTTTTTGAGTGGGGGGTTAGGGGGGGGGGGGGGGGTTTCAGTTTCACAAGATATCCTTCTCTCCAGTCTGCTGGTATTTTTTCGGGCTCCTAGACTTTACTAAATAATCTGTGTAGCAATTCCGTTGATGTGTTTATATTGGCCCTAATAGCTTCTACTGGGATACCATAAGAAACTGCCGCCTTTCGTTCCTTCAAAAGATTGATAGCTTTTCCAATTTCCTCTTTAGAGGGTATCTCACAGTTGATATCCAGTTGCACTTTTAAAGGCTGGATGTCTAGAGGAACCGCTGGAGCTGGTCTATTTAGAAGTATTTCAAAAAATTCAGCCCCTCTTTCCATTTGATCTTTAGTGTTAGTGAGTACTTTTCTTTAACTATTTTTGATTTTTCGAGTTGGCTGACTTTATTTAACTACTAATTTTCTTGTGTTACTGTAAAGGTCTCTGATGTTTCCGTTTGCTGCTGCTGTCTCCGCTTCTTGTGCTAGATCATTTGGATATTTTACTTTATCTGCCCGTATTCGCCTCCTAACTTCCTTTTGGCTTATGTGTATTTATTGTGAGTGTGAGCTTTAGCAGCTCTAATTTTGCTATTAAGTCTGCCTTTTAACTTTTTCTTTCTTAAAACAGGTTATTGGTTTCAGGTGTTATCCACGTTTTATGTTTCGGTTCTTTCTTGCCAAGGACTTCTACACAAAATTAATTTCAGAGTCCATTGATCTGATCCCAGCAGACTTCAATGCTTACATCTTCAGCTAAATGCTGCAACCCCTGTTACTTATTAACAGACTGTAAATGAAAATTGTTCCTTAACTTCTTTATCCCTGAGATAGCCTACACTATACTGATTTCTAGGATTATTAGATGTTATATATCTTTAAGTTTCAGATCGATTTTACCTACCGACAGAAAATGGTCAGTAAATACATCGGCACATCAAAGCCCTAGCATCATATGGGATGACCTTTTTGTTAATACATAGGTAATCAATTTGATTGGCTGTCTCATGATCAGGCGATTTCCCATATTGCCTTGTGTATTTGTATTAGGAAAAACGCCTACACCAACAATATACTGGTTATCTGCACACAAATTACTGAATAATTCTCCATTTTCATGCATTATTCCTGTATCATGTTTTCTTATAATCTCTTCCTAACCTGTGTTATCCGATCCTATCTTAGCATTCAGGTCACACATCCACATTTTTATACTACCATTTTTTTCATTATTTGCAGTATTTTGAAGTTGCCTGTAAAATTCCTCCTTAACTGATGCATACGTATCATTTGTTAGTGCAGAACACTGTATTACCGACATGGTCACCTTCTGTTTCGCCATTCTACATGACCATATATTATTCTAGGATTCATAACTTTCCACTACTACTTCTACTACTACAAACAACTACCACTATTACTGCTACCACTACTGCTGCTGCTGATCCTCCTCCTCATCGACCTAGTACGGCTTATACTCCATCTCATCTTTTTTTTTCTCCCACCGAACAGCTTTATTCTCCTACTCCTCTGTGTGTTTACCTCCTCCTGTTCAGAGGTAGCTGTTATTATTCTACGCTCATACACCTGAATGCAATAACATTTATAATCTCTGACTATGGCTACTCCTGTAGCTTCCATCTAGGACACAACCCTGACACTGTCAGCCAACATCTGCTCCTATATTCACAACAACCAACACATCATCACTTACCATCTCTGTCTCCCGTGTCGAACATCAGCTCAGCCTCCTCCGAGGCTACAATTTCCCCGAGAACTCGAAAAACAAGTTTAAAACCCTTGAGATCCAAGCGACCATCGATCGCCTTCTTGTCGAATATGTGCTGGCATCCTGGAAACAGTACAAGAGCGATTACCTCTCCTCATCCCAGAGTTGACCCACTAACAAAGTTCAAATGTCAGGGTCTAAATCATGAGAATAAGTAAATGACGATTTGAACGCCACTAAAGCATTGGGCGCGGCGTAAGCCAACATACCGCGATCGAAACCTGCGTGGGCTGCGTGGATTTTTATCGTGGTATGGGACGTCGCAGGTCGACCCAGCCTAAAATGGGTACCAGGATGGGCTGTCCTGGGAAAGTAAAGACAGCCGGCGTAATTGCTGACCACATTACCCACAGAGTGCTGATGGTCTGTAAAAATATGGGACGCTCTGCCCATATGCCCGATGCGCCGAAAGGCGTGAAAAGGGAACTTTACTTTTACTTTTACTTTAAAGCATTGGGCACAGGATTCTACTTCTATTTTTTTTCTAAACTCAACAGCATGCAGTTGGTGATTGGCCAACCTATTTTCCCTGTCTGAGGCTGGCTTTCGTGTCCACACAGGGTCCTGCAGGGTCCAATCAAACGTGATACCGTAGTACTTGGTCTACTGATGCTTCTCAGTACATTCTGATGAACAATGGATGCGACTAGGTGTGGGAATTAATTATGAACACAAGAGAAGATATACGACGTGAATCTAGCATCATCATCATGTAGCAGGTCCTTTGCAGAACGTCGCTCTTATCACAGTCTGCCTTAAAGAAACTCGGTCTCTTGCCACTTCTCCCGCCTTATGCACTTTCACACTCAAGGAGTCACTTATATCCTGTGCCCATCTACGTGTCGGTCGGCCCCTGCTCCTCCTTCCTGGTACCATGCCTTCTGCTACAAAAAACTTCCTCTTCATCGACAAAGTTTTTTTAAACTTACTTAGTAGTGTTACACAAATTCGGACTTTGGCCAGACTACGGAACGCACTTTTTTCTTCATCAAATAGCTTGGCATTGCACGCCACCATGAGCCCTGAAGAACCCTGCGGCGCTGATTAAGGGTGAGTTCCCTGCGTGGGTTTCGTGGTCTCATTATGGGGAAAACAAGAATAGACCCACTGCCTTACCAATAAGCATGTCGTTAAGAGTCGACTAACTTGGGGCTTCCTTCGAAGTCAGAATGCAACTGCCTAAAAGGCAAGGAACCAACAATCCACTCACGATTAAGCAAGATCTGTTAGACGGATGTGAACGCAACACTCGGGTTCTGGAACAAGACTAAAGTCCTGAGGTGCACAAACAACCAGAGCTTTCTGACGGAGTTTACAGCCAGTTATCAAGAAGAAGAAAAAGAAGAAGAGTAAGTGTTTACATTTATGTATGTTGGTGCCCTTCTAATCTTCTTCAAGAATATGAAACTCACTGTGACCCTCCAGATGAGACGCTGCCAAGTAACCTGTAGTCTTGTGTGGGTGGGTCTGGGGTTGTGACCTCAAGTGGAGCTGCTACATTATTGGTGGACATTCTTTCTCTACCGCCAGGAAGTTTCCGCTAATCTGTGGCCTTTTTCTTCTGATCGCTGATCACTAAGAGTATTTTGGCGTCCCTGGTTAAGTCGCCTAGAGTTTCTGCCCTATCATATCGGCGACTGGGTAGCCCATTGGCTCGCCAGTAGACGACTTCGTCACCAGTCGGGATTGTATTTAGGGTCTGTCTCCTTTGATGGCATCAACACTGTAGGAGTCCTTTTCAGGGCTCATGGTGGCGTGCAATGCCAAGCCATTTTATATGGTGCACAAAACCTAATCACAGTTATAACCTAAAGCTCCCCCTTCTGGGATATTGGTTTAACATAAGGATTTCTTTTCAAACAAAAACAAGACAAAAAAAAAAAAAAAAAAAAAAAGCATCTACCCTTTCTGCTATACCCTAGAAACGCCGAGAGGAAAAAAGGAGGCGGGGAGTGGGGGGGGGGGGGGGGGGGGGGGGTTTAAACGGGAAAGAGCATGAAAGAAATTATTGTTAAAACTTACTTGTTATCTCTTCCTCCGTTAGATCATCTGTCCCTGTCAAAAAAAAAAAAAGAAAAACGATGAGAAAAACTGAAGACCATCTTTCAGTAAACAATAGAAGACTACAGCGTGCTGTCTAAAATGGGTGCCAGGATGTGTCAGGGGAAGTAAAGTCGGTCAGTATGATGTCCACATCTGTCCATATTTTTATATAGAAATATAAGCACGAGAGATAAATGCACGAAACGCCACTGGCTCCAAAAGGTCTTGTATAAGCTTGGACTTAGTTTTACTGACAGCTTCAGCTGCCCACTAAGCCACAAACTTTCAACAATTCGACATGACAATGAAATGCGCTGTCTCCGTAAGGTCACTAACAAAACGAGAAGAGACAGGGCTACGAAAACCAGCATAAGAGAGAAAGTCGTAATAACACCATGTCTGGATTATATTGTTGGTCCGTCACAAGTGATCAAGATCACTGTATATCCAAAGTAGTAATGATCAGTGATTATAATTACGGTGGTTGCTGATAATCCAACATGTGCATGGAAAGTTCTTGAGCAGTGCGGACGACAGGTGGAAGCCGCAGTAAGTGTGGGATTAGCGATACGATTCTTTTTAAAATGCCTCCGTTTCTCTGCCTGTGCAACCTTCGCTGTCATACAGGCTGAGGCACCATGCCGGAGGGACGGTACTGGGCAGCAGCCTCCTTTGACGCTGTGATGATGCCAAAAGAAGTCAGAGCAGTGTTGAGTGTTCTCACAGCGATTTTCTGTCCTCGGTGGGACCTCTTCCCTTGCTGGAGCTTGCCATAAAATACCCTCTTTAAGAGGCGATAGTCTGGCATGCGAGCTATGTCTGGATTATATTAACAGACAAAGAATGACATGGCTCCGCCATCTCGTGAGAATGCAGCCAGACCAAACTGCATATGAGACATTTTACAGCAGAACACCTGAGAGAAAAGCCAGAGGAAGACCAAGAAAGAGAAGGATAAATGATGTTGCAGCAGAAAGCTGCAAAAACATGAAAAAATTCATCACCCAACCCACCCGAAAAGCGCAGAAAGCTACGACACTAAGCTACAGCTGGGTATCAGTGAGAAGACAACAGGAGAAGAATAAGAAGAAGCCAACAATTGCTGGGTTTACTACGTTCTGTAAAGTAGTTCTACAAACTGTTATCTCCTACAGGCTATGAGCCCGGTAAATTGTAAAGAAGCAATATTTCGCAGGTCAGTTGAGGCGAATCATCATCATCAAGTGCCTTGCCGACTGGCCTGGGCTATAATGCCTCTCCACAATCCGCGATCCGCAAGTGAGTGTATTTGTTTGTGTGCTGACATCCCTCCATGTCGTGGCAAAAGGATGTCAAGAATCTTCTCCTTCTTTCTTCACCAGTCTCTCTTTCCACAGATCTTGCCAGTGGTCACAATATATTCGTTTCCCTCTTCTTATAACATAACGAAAGAATTACGACTGTCTCTTTCTGATATTTGTGATAAGGTGTCTTCGAGCATTAACACAGAAGCAAAAACTAATGAAGTTAGCATTCTGTTTCACCAAGCAGTAGGTACTTTACAGAATCTCGTTCACGACACACCTTAAAAACTGTCTTTCTCTAGCCAGTTCTCTAGCTCTGTGTGCTTTCATGGCTAATGCATCTTCAGTTTCTTGTGTCCCACTTAACTTAGATCTACCTCTGCCTCTTTTTCTAGAAACTGTGCCCTCCATCACAGTTCTCTGCAAGGTCACCGTGGCGCGTAACATGGCCAAAATACCCAAGCTTTCGGGGCAGGATGCTGTTTATGAGCTAGTTCTCCCCGGTGTTCAGATTATGTAGGATGTCGGTCTTTTTCTCCCTTGATCCATGGCATTGTGAGAGGCTGGTTTAGTGGGTTGTTAGCATGTTAATGATATTGGTTTGGCTGCACTTAGAGGACTCAAACTGGCAGATTTGCAGATTGGGACTCTCTGGAAGTGGCCATGAGTAAAATAGGTTAATATAAGAGCCACCGCAGTAAAAAGGGTCTCTTTGGCTCTTAGGTCGGCGGCAGTAAGATTAGAAACATGTAGTTCCGACTTTTCAAGGCGGAAGCGTACACGATTCTAGCGCAACGTAGGTTCAGGACACTGAGTTAAAATATAAAATGGATCACTGATTTCGTGTTTTGGTGGTACGTTCAGTTGTTAGATTGGATTAGGTGTAGATTTCCATGTGCACCCTAGCCGGAAATTCTGATAGTAGGTCACTTAAGAAAAAAAAGCGGACTCTCATCTTTGTTCGCTAGAACGATTAGCACATGGTCTGTTCGAACACGTTGTTGCTTGTTAATGTACTGTTATTTGCGAAGCACGCTAGTTTTGTATTCAGGAAAATAAACAGATGTTGAATGTGATGATTATATTCCATTTGTTTGATTCAGTATAGGGCTTGCAGTTCGTGCACGTTGTCGTTTGAACGCCGCTTATTAAGTTATATGTTGTAGTTTTCGTTGTGTAATTTATTCGCATATTCATCGCCTGAGCCATGAATATATATCATAGTTCCTGAAAAAAAAAAACCTTGCCTTTTCTGTACTTTTCCGTGTTTTTGCAGTCCAGCGGGGAACTACTTCTGGTCGTATGGGAACTACTTCCGGTCCTAAGCACATTTCTTTCATTGTCTCCGTGTGTATTTTCCCTTTTTGCGCTTTCCGCTAGCTCAGTATGCTATGAATTTTTCTGTTATTTACTAAATCCAGTATTCGAAATTTACAATTTTTATCTAAAGCTACATCCGTTGTTGGAGGTTAGAAAATATGATATTCATAGCTGGCGTGCTGTTTTAACGAATGGCTACAATGACATCCATTAAATGTCACTGTTTGGTTTCCGATGTATTTTAATTCATTTATTTCATCATCATCATCATCCCTTAACACTGCATGTCGTTGGGTCACCAATTTGACTGTCTGATCAGCTTTCTCCCCCTTTGGCAGCCAGTTGAGATGGACTTCATGGTTGCATGCCTGAGGCCTGTCTAGTCAGTCATGATCTGTAACAAAGTCTTTCTTGGTCTGCCTCTTCTCTTTCCCTCAAGTGGGCCCTGCAGTATTGTTTTTGAGAGGCCGTTAGATCTTATTTGCTTTTTAATTATATGGCGAACTTCTTCGTTTGTTATGTGGTCTCTGTGTGATATGCCAAGAAGTTGTATGAAACATCAAATTGCCCATGCTTGTATCTTTCTTTCGAGTTCACGTTCCACAGCCATAATGTAAATGTACTAATAGCTAGTGTTCTGAGCACTCGAATCTTAGTTTTGCACAAATTTTTTTTTCTAAATCTCCTTAGTGTTTGCTGCTTGTCAAAGAATGATGTTGTCTTCACAATCCTAGACATAATTTCTGATCTTGACCCCCAGGTCACTTAAAATGGATCTTAAATATTTGAAATGATTGACTTGTTCTAATTTGTGACCTTAAACGTGCATGGGTGAAGTTATGCCAACTGGATTATTAGCCATAGCGGTTTTTTTTTTTTTTTTCTGCATTTGTTTCCATGCCATTCTTGGTCCATATTTCGTCGAGCAGATTTAAATACTCATTCTTCCCTGGCCAACCCATCAATGTCATCTGCAAACCTCAAATTTGTTCATGATTGACCGCCAATACTAACTTTTCCATAACGTTGTTCTAGGGCGTCAGTTATAATACTTTCTAAGAAGATGTTAAATAGTGTGGGGAGGGAGGCAACTCTGACGGACTTCTACTGTTGTTCGGGACCAGCTCATGATTTGTCCGTTCAGCGTGGCAGCACTGTTGGCCTTAACATAAATCTGCTAGATACTACGTATGAGGGTTTTACCCTTATTGTACATGTTCATAGTGTTCCAGAGTGCTGCATACCATACTCTATTAAAGGCCTTTTTGAAATCAATAAACACGTGGTATAGATGTTTTTGGTGCTGGTGGTATTTCTCTGATAATGTGCGCAGATTAAAATATGTTTAACAGTGCTTCTTCCAACACGGAAACATGCCTGTTCCTCTGCTATGATCTTTTCTAAATCTAGCTTTAATCTGTTTATTTATTTTAAATTTCCCATCCATGATTGCAGTCTGTTTCAATGCATCTCAAGGATGAGAATCAAACAGCTACAAATCCTAGAAACTCCATTCAACAATATATCCATATATCACAGTTATACTGACGCACCGCAAAACGGTTAAAAAGTAACTTCCGATTCCGATTCCTTTTGAGAAAACAAATTAAAAGGTCGACCACTTTCAGACTGCTGCTAGCTAGCCGAGTCTGTTAACAGTCTTCGCCTATATTTATGGTCTGGGTTATTTGCGTCACTTTCGTGATTAAATAAATGGAGTTTCCGCATATGGATGGTAGTCAGTGGGCCATTTGTTGAAGAACTCTGCTGTAAAGGATTTAAGATCCATATTCGAAAAAAAAAAAAAAAAAAAAAAAAGAGGAGCAAGTGGAGCACCACAGTTTGGTGAGATTGATGCAGGGGGAGTGTCGAGAGGTTCTGGCAGATGCTCGAGGCTCGGAGGAAAGGCAAGACAGACGTTTAATCAGAACGCTACTGACACCATTAGTATCGGAACTCTTCGATGGCTGCTGAAGATGGGGACGTAGCGATTATGGAAATGCCCAGAGTGCTGTGATGTCGGTTCTTGATTCCAATCAAATCAAATCATGTAAAGGATTTGCAACTAACTTCTAATCGAAAGTATACTTACCATTTTGTTCCGAATTGTCTTTTTTTTCAAACATTGCCCATTCTTATTTAGAATGTGACCTTCTGCGTCATTCTCACCTGCGTCTTCCTTTTCGCCATCTTGTTCCTTTTCGCCCTCTTCTTCTGCTTCTTGTGCTTCTTCACCTTCAGCAGCAGCTTCCTCATTCTCGTTTTCTGCTTCTTCTTCACCATCGACAATTTCATCTGGACGTAGGAAAAAAAAAAGAATATGGCCATTGTAAGAATGAAAGAATGAGCAAGAGATCACAGCATGTCTACATTCTAATTTAGATCCGGCCAGTTTTGCAATTCTGCATTGTCGAGTGGCTAAAACGCTGGGCTTTCATTGAGGTAGATACGGGTTTAAATCCTCGGTAAGTGGACGAAGCGGCTCCTCCCCCCCCCCCCCCCCCCCCCCCCGGTCACTACATTAAGTGACAGGTTGTGAGGAAAGTCTTATTTAACTATAATTGTAAAGAAATGAGAAATACGAGGGTGTTTCCTTCGAAGTCAGCGTACATTTGCCTGAAGGCGAAGAACCAAAAGTTTGCAGACTAATAAGCCATTTTGAAGTGCGCGTAAAACTCATGTTTGACTGACTGACTTTCTGCCCCACTAGGACATCACACAAGAGAATAACACCCGATGACACAAAGTGCTACCATGTGGATGAGGATCGCCGTGGAGAGGTCCCAGAAACCGGAAGAGAAAAAAACGAGGTGTAGCTATCTAGTAACATAAACTTGCGGAAGAGAAAAAAACGAGTTGTAGCTATCTAGTAACATAAACTTGCGGAAGAGAAAAAAACGAGTTGTAGCTATCTAGTAACATAAACTTGCGGAAGAGAAAAAAACGAGTTGTAGCTATCTAGTAACATAAACTTGCGGAAGAGAAAAAAACGAGTTGTAGCTATCTAGTAACATAAACTTGCGGAAGAGAAAAAAACGAGTTGTAGCTATCTAGTAACATAAACTTGCGAAAGAGAAAAAAACGAGTTGTAGCTATCTAGTAACATAAACTTGCGGAAGAGAAAAAAAACGAGTTGTAGCTATCTAGTAACATAAACTTGCGGAAGAGAAAAAAACGAGTTGTAGCTATCTAGTTACATAAACTTGCGGAAGAGAAAAAAAACGAGTTGTAGCTATCTAGTAACATAAACTTGCGGAAGAGAAAAAAACGAGTTGTAGCTATCTAGTAACATAAACTTGCGGAAGAGAAAAAAACGAGTTGTAGCTATCTAGTAACATAAACTTGCGGAAGAGAAAAAAACGAGTTGTAGCTATCTAGTAACATAAACTTGCGGAAGAGAAAAAAACAATAGGAGGAGATTCAGATAAATCACCTGGTGTAAATCTTTTAGGCTGCGGTCCAGGATGCCTGATAAACACAACTAAAGTCTTACCTTCGTTAGTACGTTCGCCGTCATGTTCTGCTTCGTTGTTGTCGTCTGCATCGTTTGTCTCCCCTTCTTCAGGTTGACTCTCATGGCTGGTCGCATCTTTTTCAACTTCTTCGTCTTCAACGTTTCCTTCATTTTCATCTTTTTCTCCTTTTTGGCTATTTTTATCATCGTCAGTGTTATCTTCAACAACTTTATCTTTGATCACATCTTTACCCTCGGATTGTACCCCTGTTGTGGTTTCTGTAAATAGGTTAAATTACAAAGAGGACAATAAAAGGGCAGCTCTGAAGATCCGTATCGACCAAAAAAATATATATATAACGATATCTACCATTAGGCGTTGTGAACGAGCTTCTTAAAGCGGCGGTGCTGGTTTCTATCCCAGCTGTATGCGATTTGTCAGCAGACCGTCTTGTGTTGGTTTCGACAGTTGTGCTTTGCCGATAGCTGACCGTTTAGTAAGCTATAGCAAACTACTGAACGTAACTTGAATAGAAAAACTATAATAGCCAAAAAAAAAAAATGCTGGTGTTGGTTCTGCAACGTCCTGTAAAGGATACGCAACTAATTAATTCCTGACAGAATTCCGTCTTCAGTCGGGCATGCACCCCCCCCCCCCCACCCCCGGGCCTCCTTTCCAGGATTGCTGCTTGTAAGACTGACACTTTAAGGGTGAGAGTCAAACAGGAGCAAGTTACCCAAATAGCTACACATACAGTTCAGAGATTCTCCCAGTGTGAACAGAACAATCAAGTGAAAAGAACCTTCTTCGTCTACAGGACGTCATTTGCTTCATTCCAGACACATAATTGACAAGGACGGTGCTTTTTGCCTTAACGATTGAGGTTTATGGTTTGAACCCCGGATCACATCATGGCACACGGGTAGCAATCCATAAGTGCTCAGGTCTTCTTCTAACTCAAGTATGAGTCCGAAGAAGCTCAGCACAGTTTACAGGCTCTGTAGCACCGACGAGGATCCTGAAATACTTTAGGTACATTTTTAACTAAAAATTCTGCCCGGGCAGCGCCGTTAGGATACTCTTTTCGATTTTCAACTGTCAAGGTTTTTTTTTTCAACGTACTCAACAATGCACACAGAGGTCTGATCTTACTGCCCAGAGACCAGGGGGAATTGCTAGAAGTCCAAGTCGGCGTGAAAAAATCCCAGCCCTTACCGAGGATTAAACCTGGAACCTCTAGCACTCGAGGCGGATACCATGCCTCGAGACCACGCAGGCTCTGCTTGAAAAAAATTAAAATCAACAGCCTTTTCCTTTGTAAGCAGACGGAATTTATAGTAAAAGTGAGGTTACCCTTAGTGACTACAATGAACTTCCAGCGACTAGACAAACACGATGCATCGAAAGAGACTGTTGGCTGTTTTCATTACAATTGGATTTGTTCAGTTTATGTGTGCTTCATTTTATGTTGATTTAACTCTGTACTAACTCACCCGACGAGATACAGCGAAGTTTGCCTAGCAATAAATTGTGCAGCATACGGTTTATGTCTGTAATTTTTCCCTACAGATTTTTACTATTATTGTACTTGGTAGTAAATTGGGACCATGTCAGTCATTCTTTTAGACTGCTATCTCATGCATTTCACTGGATTGGTACCTTTCCGTCTTTCCAGTCGATAGTGTTATATTGCCCTATGAGAAGGTATGAGACTCACAGCCCATGGCGATGGCGAGTGTGACTAGCAAGACCCGCCCGTGTCAAGAAAAGTCTTCTACAATGATAGCATGGGATTTCAGGACCATTGTTAACAACATTTGTGTTTAATCCGTTTCTTTTCAGACGCTCAGCTCTCATCCTTTCAGCAGTCATTTCTTCCTCCTGTTATGCCCTTTCCACACAATACGGTCCGTGGCATTTTGTTCCCATGCGTCCACCTCAATACCTGTATCACTCATGTCCCGCTTGCGCATATCTTTATATCGTAGTAGAGGTCGGCCTCGACATCTTCTTCCTGTCTTTAATTCACCATAAATGATGTCCTTAGGGACTCTGCCATCCTCTATTCTCCAGCTGTGGCCCAGCCACCTGAGCTTTCGTATACAGCATGGAAAAGACGGTTGTAGTACCTGCTCTTTCCAGTACCTCAGTGTTTGTGATTTTGTCCTGCCACTTAATGCCAAGTATTTTTCTTAGGCATCGCATGTGAAAGCTATTTAGCCGTCTCTCCTGGTGCAAATAGGTTGACCAAGTTTCACTGCCATAAAGCAGAGTGCTGGAACACTGCATTTCACTACAACAGTTATTCTAGGGGCATTCCGACAGTTAGTGTTTTGTTGTTGAAAAGGTAGTGACTAATTGAGTAAAAACCCCACCAGGACATTAAACCGAGCAATAAACATCCGTTGACACAAAGTGCAAACGTTCAGATGAGAATCACCCAAGGACAGGTACAAGGAACCCTGTTGAACTGTTAGGTTATTTTAGGGCCCCCGACCACTGCAGGGCTGAGGGCTTTAAAATAAGCAATATTGCGTCGCACATTGGGGCGGAAACAGATAATAATGAGAGGGCAGTATGCGTGTGTTTGGGGTCGTTCAGTCCCACCAGGACCGTACAACAAACGACCAACACCCGGTGACATAAAGTGCCACCTTTTGGATCAGAATCACTCGGGCACAAATCTGAGCAACCCCGTTCAACCGTTCGGTTATATTAGGGCCTCCGATTTACAGCCGGGGTGGGGGCTTTAAATTAACGAAAATTGCGTCACACATTAGGATGTGATTAAGAATAAAGGGCAGTAAGCACATCTTTCTTACTAAAAGGGCAGGCAATTCAACTAGCGCACTGCAGATTAATGCTGGCTTTTAATGTTTCTGTAAATATTTATTCGTGTGTAGTATATTCAGCAAACAAAATTCCTCACTTACTTTGGTGAGTCTCATTATTATCATCGTTCTCTTCGTTTCTCTCGTCGTCGTTGTTATCACCTGTCTTATCGTTTTCAGAAGTGACATCTGCATCATCTGGATGTACATCCCCTGGTAGGGATTCGCTATCTCCTTTGGAATCATCCTGTTGGCAAAGAACCGATGCAATATATAAGATGCGCATGCACACGCAATAAATATAAACAAATAGGGTAATCTTAAACATAAATATTTAGAAAAAATGACTAATTTTTAAACCTTAACTTTATTTCACCGCTTGTTTCATCAATTATAAAGCAAAGAAAATGGTAATACATTGGATGTTTGTTTATTCGACAGATCAACATCAATTTATATACGTAATTCAGTTTTGTCCTTTTTAGGACAGAATTTTTTGTTATTTGAAGCCCCACCCTGGCTTTTGCCAGGGGCCGCAATATAGGCAGGCCATCAATATGGCCAATTGTCTGATCGCGGTTTCTGGGACCTCTCCACTAGTGATCCTCGTCCACATGGTGGCACTTTGTATCACCGGCCGTTTATAGCTTGTGTGATAACCTGGTTGGGTTAAACGTCACTTATGGGAAATAAATAAACTAACCAAACGAGACCATCCAAGTGAAAACCTAAGACGAACGTTGTTGGGAGAGGTCTTGGGAGCTGACTGGATTACATCAGTCGAAACGAGAGGATTGCCTAGCAAAGGACGAAGTGGAGGATTATGTATATGCAAGCCTACGTGATGTATTAGGGCACAAAGTCGCAATCAACAAACCTACCCCTGAACTGATTAGAGACCCTGCCGCCGGCACATCAAGTCTCCCGACACACAGTCGGAGTCAGAACACGACCAGAGACGATCACGCCCTCGCAGTGGGATAATATAATTTGTTGGACACTCAAAGCCTTGTCTTATTATTGATCGTCCAGTCATCTCCTTGTGAGATGCAATTTTTCGTTATTTGAAGCCCTACTCTGGCTCTTGCCAGGGGCCGCAATATAGCCCGCCCATAAATATGGTCTAATAACTGAACGCGGTTTCTGGGACCTATCCCCGGGTGATCCTCCTCCAATGGTGGCATTTTGTGTCATCGGATGTTTATCGCTTGTGTGATGTCCGAATTATTCACCAAATTCTGATGAATTGTCAAACTTACAACGGAATAAAATAATACCCCCAATTACGAATACAGTAAAACACATCTCTACATACGTCCGCGCTATCGTAACGGCTGAGAGACACTGACTGCTTCGACTACCCCTGAACTCTTCACACCGGTGGTTGCATGTTGATCTCACATTCTCGCCAACCCCCGGGAGTTTTTCTCCTGCCAGTCTCACATGCTTCTCACAATCCCTGTTATGATCGCTGTTAGCAGTTAATCTCAAGAAAGCCCTGTCTCACAATTTACCCGTGTGGACCTTTTGCACTTGCCTCTGCCACCATCACCTTCCTCCATGCGATTGCGCCTCTGACGCCTGGTATAATTGAACAGCAAAGTGAGTTCAGCACACAAAAACTACTACTACCGCTACTACCACTACTACTACCATCACCACCACCACCACTACTTCTACTACTACTACTACTACTACTACTACTACTACTACTACTACTACTACTACTACTACTACTACTACTACTACTACTACTACTACTACTACTACTACTACTACTACTACTACTACTACTACTACTACTAATACCACCAATACTATAACTACTACCACCACAACCACTACTACTACTGCTGTTGCTGCTACTACTACTGGGGCTGCTACTACTGCAGTCAAAACTAGAACGAGTTTTACTGCTGCAACAAGTATCAGCTATAACTAGAAGTCGATATTTATACATAGTAGGCACTTAGACCCACAGTCTATGGTATATGTAGTTTGATTATTCAACACTGGAATCTACTAGTGCACTGTTCCCCATAATTCACACTGTGTCTTCACGTCTGTCACCTTATCTTCAACATACGGTACTGCAGGGCCATGGTTGCTAAGGACGCCATCATGGCACTAGTCTTTGTTGTTCGCGTTGCTAGTCTCGTAGCTAAGTCGAGAGGAATTTAATTATTCAGTAAACTGACATCGTGTGTTGTGTCGCGGCTTGCTCGTCCGAACACTAGTAAGTTTCCAGAAGAAAAGAGAAAAAAAAACTATGTCTTGCCAGTTGGCTGAAAAAGTGGACAGGGTCAGGGCCGTCTTAATGCTTGGGCCCTCTGGACACTGGCCCGGAGGCCCCAAGGGCATAGAGACCTAATGCAAATCTGTGTATGTAAAATGACATGCCATAAACAAAAATATGTTCTTTTCTGTTTAGCGACAGCATCACGCCAGATTTAGGGGACATCCTATTTTTAGGGGAAGTGGGGGGAAGGGTGGGGAAGGGGTTAGTAGCAGTCACAATTTATTGAACAAGAATCCTACCCCCACTGACTAACCCCCCATAATATGGGATGTCCCTAAACGTCGTGGTCGCAAAACAGAAAATAACCTAAAAATATATTTGACCTTATGTGCGGATTTGTCAACTTAATTAGTTTGCCATCTGCGCCCCCTTAGTGTGAGTAACAGCAGCACTAATATGTAAAATTCTTTGAGCTGGTACAGCGTCTGTGTTCATTTTTGTTTGGGGG